CTGTAACCTTTGGAAACTAACCAGATGAAACCACAGAATTAGCAAATGGCTTGAAATCTGTATATAAAACATAAATTACATTTAATTTCAAACTCACATTTATTAGTTTATCACTCAGTCTTAAAAAAAAAAAGTGGCTCCATTCTTTTTTTTTTTTTATCCTCACCCAAGGTCATTTTTCCATTTTTTGTTCAGATAGAGTGGGAGGGTGGGAGGGAGAGAGAGAAACATCAACATGAAAGGGACACATCGAGTGGCTGCCTCCGCCACGACCCAACCAGGGCCGGGGACAAACTGCATCCGAGGCACGTGCCCTTAGCGGAAACCGAACCTGGGTCTCTCTGAATCGCAAGCTGACGCTCTAACTGCTGAGCAAAACCGGCCAGGGCATCTTATACAATTCTTAAAAAGGAAACTCTTCCTTTACACCCACCCACACCCCAATTTCAAAACATGTCATTTCATTGTCTTGGTCATGGACATTTCCAAGATGAGATTTTATATTTCGTTCCCATAGCTTCTGGTTATCAGAAAACCCATGCTTTCCTTTATTAAAGGGGTTTGGTCCTGCTGATTGTTAGTGTATCCCTTCCAAATTTCTTCATCCTCATCTTTGCTTCTGGTGGCATTTCCTCTGGCTTGCTGTCTTCATCTTCATTAAAAGCTGCTGCTACTGCCCTGGCTGGTTTGGGTCGGTGGTTAGTGAGTGTGTCGGCCTGCAGACCAGAGAGTCCCGGGTTCAGTTCCTGCTAAGGGCATGTAGCTGGGTTGCAGTTCATCCCCAGCCCCTGTAGGGGTCGTGTGGGTAGCAACCAGTCGATGTGTCTCTCTCACATTGATGTTTCTCTTTCTCCCTTCCTCTCTCTCTCCCTCCTACTTTATCTGAAGATAAATGCAAAAAATGTCCTTGGGTGAGGATACAAAAAAACCCCTGCTACTGAAAGGGTTTTTGGAGCAAGAGTTGGAACAGTTTCTTTAGGTTCACTTGATCCAAGTTTGATGGATATGGCTGAGGCTTTCTTTGTTGTCGGACTACCTATGGCAAATCCAAGCTTAGAGACTTTTGTAGGCTTTTTTTTAGAGTTCTGCAGCTTCTTCAGCTGATCGCTTCTCAGTGCTGCAACTGGAACTTTCCCCTCCATTACTCCGGTGGCTCCAGCTCGCTGTGGTTTCTCCAGCTTCTCCCTATACCTGTACTTTCTTTCCCTCAGAATTCTGTAGTCATTTTTATATTTCTAACATTGAGTGTGGCAGAGAAGTCCAAGGTTTTGGGGTGTTTTTGTTTGTTTTCCTTTCTGGTGGAGATTTTTTGTTTCACTGTCCTTATGTGGGTTTTGTTGTTGTTAATGTTGTGTTTTACTTATACTTCTCTGTTCATGTGTTCCTTTCTTTAGAAACTTGGCTATCTTCTCTATTATTTACATTGCTGTATTCTTTACTGTCTCTATAGTCTTGTCTCTTTTTTGTTTTTGGTTGGTTTTTATTTCTTTTTTATGTATTTTTGTTTTACGGACTCTTTCTAACAGGATAGTGTAATGAATCCCTATATACCCACCTCCACCAACTGTCAATTCATTGCTGACTTTGTTTCATCTATGTCTTCTCACTCATTCTCTTCTTTATTCTCTGGATTATTTTTTTATTTTTTTATCCTCACCTGAGGACACTTTTGCATTTATCTTCAGATAGAGCGGGAGGGAGAGAGAGGAAGAGAGAGAGAAACATCAACGTGAAAGGAACACATCAAGTGGCTGCCTCCTGCACGACCCAACCAGGGCCAGGGACAAACTGCAACCATGGTACATGCCCTTAGTGGAACCAAACCAGGGTCTCCTGGACCGCAGGCAACTGGCCAGGGCTAAGCTTTTATTTTATTTATTTACTTACTTACTTACTTACTTATTTCCTCGCCCAAGGACATTTTTTCATTTTTTGTTCAGATAGAGTGAAAGGGGGAGAGAGAGAGAAATATCCATGTGAAGGGGACACATCGAGTGGCTGCCTCCCGCATGACCCAACCAGGGCCAGGGACAAAGTGCAACCGAGGTATGTGTCCTTAGTGAAACTGAACCCGGGTCTCTCTGGACCGCAGGCCGGAGTTCTAACCGCTGATCCAAACAGGCCAAGGCTAAGCTTTTATTTTAAATATAGAAGAAGCTATTAGCAATCTGGTATCGTTGGCTACCAGATACCAAACGTTTGTGCCTTTAAAGTTTTGTATAAATGTTGGCACTTTTGTGGTTTGCATTTAAGAGGCAAAGTAGAATTCTTTCTAAATTCTACCTACAGTACTGTATTATTAGACCATTTTGCAGTAAAAGCATCCCTTAACAAAACAGATGCATTTCATTGATAAGTATTTAAAGCAAATTACATTAACCTGAGCCCTTTAACCCAGAATAATGAGATAGGTTCAATCAGTGGTTCTTTCTGAATGTAATAAAATCACAGTTGTAGCACTGGTAGAGGCTTCTGGTTCTAAGATATGAAGGGAAAAAAAAATGTTTGCTGCTTTCTTTTCTTGAAAGTTACCCTAAAACAAAAGATAGAGATTACAGCCCTGGCCAGTTTGGCTCAGCAGTTGAGTGTCAGCCTGCGGGACTAGAGTCCTGGGTTTGGTTCCCGCTAGGGGCACGTACCACAACAACAACAAAAAAAGATACAGCTTACAAACTTAGAAGTAGGAAACATTTTTAACCATGATCTGAATTAAATATGGGAAGTGATCTTGTGCCTTTGACCAGGGCAACCAGTCCAGACTAGAGCAGGTTGTAAAACCTACTTATATTTAGGAAAATAAACTGGTAAACCTAATGGGAATATAAATATATTAAGAGGTAATTTGAACAACTGGCAGCAAGTTTAGATTAGACTATCACTAGAGCTCTAAGCGAAGGAGAAGAACAAGGTAATTACTAACTTCGGGGAAAATAAAAAGTTGTGCAACAAAGTCTATATATATACTATATGGCTCAGCTTTGAATAGCACACTAATCTAACCAAAATTATGATATAACATTGGAAGAATACAGTGTGTGAATGTGTGTAATGGAGGGTAGAAATACAGGAGAGTTAAATTCTCATCTTCCATAATAGTAACTGTCAGGTAATACCTAAAACTGAAAACTCAAGATATAGCAATACAAGTCTTTACTTAATAATATGGAGGTAGGTACACTTGGCTGCTTCGAATCAGTGGTTGGGGCGTCGGCCAAAGGCACATACCTCATTTGTGGTTTATCCCCGGCCTTGATGGGGTCATGCAGGAGGCAACCAGTCAATGTGTCTCTCTCACATCAATGTTTCTCTCTCTCTCTCTCTCCTTCCCTCCCACTCTGTCTGATGATAAATAGAAAAATATCCTCAGGTGAGGATTAAAAACAATAACAATAATAATAATATGGAGGTAGGTCAGAGAATCAGCTAAAAGAATTTAAAGTATGGGCCTCTGGGTAAGGAAAAATAAAGAGAATGGTCTGCTGTTTGCCTAAATAAACTTGTGGATCTAGCTGACTCTCTCGTTGTACAAAATTAAAACCTAAAGAAAACAGAGAAAGAGGATTTCTGCATTTGAATAATGTTTAGTCAATGTGTAGCACAGTATAATTATAGTACTACTGTATGTCTAACTAGGATACCAGTACATGACAGTGGCCTGCTATTGGAATCTTCATGGAAGCCCAATAAATAGCACACCTTTCCCTGCCACATTCTGAGCAAATTAAGAAATAAAGCTGTGAAGTAGCATGAGGAGGATAACATACTATCTTTATTACTCTTAAAGGTCAAGTTGAAAGATACAGCTTAGAATGAGAACCAAATTGGGTGTATTTAACTGAACTTCCAAATTAAATAGGTTTACCCACATGGTCATAGGCAGTATTGATGAGTAGTTGCAGAAAGCATAATACCTTAAGGATAGCTCACTTCCATGAGGAAAAGGGTGAAGCTGAATTGAGTTTACCTGGTTTATTTTTTTCCCAGGTTTACCAATCAGATAAGTCATTTAACACTACTGTATAGAGAGACTAGGAGACTAATTGAGCTCCCTTTTCAATGAAAAGCATTAGAAAAATGTTTATTGCAGTAGAACATCAAGTTATTTTTAGTTTAGCCTCTTTTTAAATTTATTTTTGTTTCTTTGATGCTCAGTTTCACCATTATAGTCTGTATATTCAGCTAATGTACATTTATTTGGTGTAAAATCAAAGAAGAAAAAACTTCTTTATATTCAAAGAAGTTATGTTTTATGTAACCCCCAATTATTATTATTATTTCATTGTTGTTAATCCTCACCCAAGGATACTTCTTCCATTGATTTTTTTTTTTTTTAAGAGAGAGTGGAAGGGGAGGGGGAGAGAGAAACATCGATTGGTTGCCTTCCACACGTGCCCAATCATGACTGGGGATTGAACCTGCAACCCAGTTACTTGCCCTTGACCAGGAATCAAACCCAAGACCCTTCAGTGTGTGGGTCTACACTCTACCTACTGAACCACACCAGCCCAGTCCAACCCCCAATTAAAAAAAAAAAAAAAAAGATAATTCAAATGTAAAATGGTACATTATAGGTAATTGCACTTTATCTCTAGAAAATGAAACCTGAAAACTACTTCTGAAGTTAAATATGTAGTATACTAGAGTATTCAGAATTACATCCTGTTTTAAACTCTTCTGGATTTCTATGGCAAAAAGTTTGTCAAGTCCTACTTGAGTGCTTGCTCTATGTAAAGTTTTGTATAGTTGGATAATTCTCTTCGGGAGCTTATGATCAGCTACAAATGGATATGACAAATATAAAAATAGTACAGGTCAGTACATGGAAGTAGCATAAGAAAATAGTGCTAAAGGGAATTTAACAAGAGGAGAACACATTTAGTGTGTGTGTGTGTGTGTGTGGTGAAAAGTCACAGTTTTTGCTATTTAGTGCTACATGTTGTGCTTTGACTAATTGTTTCTTCCAAGCTAATCAAAGGGTATGAGGACGTTGGAGTACTGCAAAAAATATGGAACACTTCACAAATTTGTGTATTATCCTTGTGCAGGGGGCCATGCTAATTTCTATATCATTCCAGTTAATAGTATGTGTGCTGCCAAAACAGGCATGAGCACATTCTGTTTTTGAAGAGAGAGACAAGGGGAATGAAATGACTTTTAGAAGTGCCATCTTGTAAATAACTTATTTTTTCTCTTAATATTCAATCTTGATTAAGTCTTAGAACTTAAAATAAGAGAATTAGAGTACCTTTATTTTCATTATAAAGTAAATAAAACATGTCCACTATAGAAAATTTACGAAATTCAGAGAAGTATAAAGGATTAAAAAATCATCCATAATACCACTACTCGGATGATCACACCTTCATGTTTCTGTTTAATCCTTCAGATTGTTTTTCTTTAAGTAAAATTGAGATCATATTTAATGTATACTACCTTAAAGTATATACTGTTCTTTTCACTTAACATAACAGTATGTATACCATGAGCGTAAGTCTTCAAAACATTTTATTTATCCGGTTGACTATTATTAGGCTAGGATGAAAATTATTTTTTCTGTAGGCTCTGATTATATCCTTAGGTCAGCTTTTTAGAAGTTAGTTTCTTGGGACATTTTTAAGGCTACAAGGATTTATTTTCCTTAATACTTAACAAATCTTTTGTTGAAGGATAGATATATTTATTGGGTAGTGGTATTTATTTGCATTTATTGAATACGTCTGTCCCTATTTTTCTTTCCTGGCATTGAATATATTCAGACTAATTAGAGGATTTGTAGTTCTGTTGTACTAAAATTAAAACATTTCCTTCCATGTTTATCATTTGAAATTTAGTGTATATCTGTGTTCTTACTCTTGAATATCTCTGATACTTAATTTTGAGGTGTACATTTTTGTTTCTTTTTGGAAACTAGCCTCATCTCCAGGTTTAATTTCTGTATTCTTCAGGGTTACTTTGAAAGTTGCAACATACACAGAAACAGGATAGCAGGCTTTGAAGTAAAAGCCTATGCTAACCCCACAGTGGTTCGATGTGAAATTCATCATGGGCAGACTGGAGGAATATATGTTCACGAAAAAGGAAGAGGACAATTCATAGAGAATAAAATCTATGCAAACAACTTTGCTGGTGTATGGATTACCTCAAATAGTGACCCAACAATAAGGTATTTATATGTATTATGAATGGAAATTACTTTTTTACTTTGTTTTATGTTGTAAGAAAAAGCAAGATACTTAGTTTTAACTCTTAATATTTCTCCTAGACATCTGACTACTATAAAAAGTCTGTGCATCTGAATGAGCATCGCTATTGCATTTATTGTTTTATGTGTTCTATTCCTTTTTTATTGGTGATCTAAGCTATCCACAGATATCACTTTATCACAGATATCATATTTCTAAATGCTGTGATTTTAAATTTAAATTCATCAAAATGCATTATAGATGAGTAAAAGAGCTGTGTGACCTTCTCTTGGAACCAGCCTGTCTCTCTCTTTTTTAAAAAATAGTTTATTGATTTTTTTAGAGAGAGAGGAAGGGAAAGCGAGAGATAGAAACATCAATGAGAGGAAAACATCCATTGGCTGCCTCCTGCACGCCCCCTACTGGGGATCGAGCCCGAAACCTAGGCGTGTGCCCTGACCAGGAATGGTTCATGGGTCAGTGCTCAACCACTGAGTCACACTGGCTGGGCAATAGATCCAGTCTTAAAGATACTGGTTAAGACTGTTGAACAAGCTATATAATTTACTTAAAGAACATGACGTATTTTTGTCAAATTTTGTTTTCCCACTGGTTTTATGAAAGAGTATTGGGGTTTTCATTTTGTTTAATATTCAGCATATGTATCTAGATCAGCTTTTAAAAACTTATTTTGAATGTGTTAGCTGTTTTGAGGGGAGTTTTTAAGAATGCTGTTTTGGCTCAGATTTTAGATAGCTTTTCCAAAGCTTTAGGTCTTAAAACTAGAAGGAAATTTAGAAATCATCTAGTCTGAGTCCCTCATTGGGTGAAATAGGAAACTGAGTATTATAGAAGTTAAATAATTTTTCAAGGTCGCATAACCATGAGTGGCCTTACAATCAGTTGTATAAAACAACAAAGCTTTGCTGAATAGATGCTTATTTTTATTATTTCATGTAATTATAGAGGGAATTCTATATTTAATGGAAATCAAGGGGGAGTTTACATCTTTGGTGATGGAAGAGGCCTTATTGAAGGAAATGACATTTATGGTAAGCATGTGGTTTTCTATAAAATTCTCATTAAAGATTATTCTGTGATATTTATTCACTTAACAAACATTTACTAAATACCTACTATGTACCTGGCATTATGCCAGATACCAGGGATGAAAATATAAACAAGGTAGATAAATAGTTTCAAGGAGTATTTATAGTTTCCTTAAATTAATTCCATTGTTTAACAGATATGGTAGTTTGGTACTTCGGTACTAACTAGAAAGGGAAAATACTTAATCCTCATTAAAACTTTTGAGAGATTAATTCAGCAAACAACTGGATATCTGTGTGCTAGACACTGATATGTTCGTGGACTTTTCTCCTTTGCTAACACCTGATAATACTTACATAAAGCTTACTCAGTGCCAGGCACTATTCTGAGCACCTTATCTAAATTAAGTGATATGATATTCACATCAGCCCTGTGAAGTAGATACTATTAAATATCCCCATTTAGTGATCAAGAAACAAAGGTACAGAGAGATTAAATAACTTACTCAAAGTCACACAGGAAATAGAATTCCTGGAATTTAAAACTATGCAGCCTGGCCAGTAGTCTCTACCCTTAACCACTATACTTATACTGCCTACAATCCTTTGCATCTTTTTACACTTAGTTCCCCTAGTTTTTTCCCATAATATTCATGGGCCATGAATATCTTTCTAAATATTACATATTTTGCAGAATTGTGCTTTTACTAAAATTCTAGTAAGAATTTTTACTGCTATATAATGTAAAACTTTAGTTATGTTTCACTAGGCTCCATATGTTGACATTATAACTTTTACTTTTAAATAGGAAATGCATTAGCAGGAATTCAGATTAGGACGAACAGTTGTCCGATTGTTCGACATAACAAAATTCATGATGGCCAGCATGGTGGGATTTATGTGGTAAGTTCATGAATACAGTTCTAGAATCTCCTACATCAAAACCAGGGGAGAAGAGGAAGGGGCAGAATTATGTCTAGTTTGAGGTAGGCCAACTTTTAGAGTATGAATCTGTGATGGTCTTTAATGAAATGAAATAAGATTCCTGTTCTTTCTGCCAGTATATATAAATGACTTTTAATTTTATAGTGTGTGTAGTGTTCTATAAAATTTAATCAACTGACTCAATTTAGGCATAGGAGATACCCCCTTTTTATTAGTTTTTTATTATAATTGGCAATATGGGCTAAACTCATAACAACAACTGATTGTTGGTCTGAGTTATGTTTGTCGCACTGGAATTTTACCAGTGTGACTACTGTATGAATTTCTGAAATTTTCCAAAAGTAATTATCACTGAAAACACTACGAGTAACAGTAGGCTTAAATATTTTTATCTTCTGATAAAGCACATTTTCATTTGAATTTATGTTGAAACATAATTGAACATCTTCCTCTCTCTCCTTCCCACTCTATCTGAGTAAAAAATGGAAAAATGTCCTCTGGTGAGGATTTAAAAAAAAAAAAAAAAAAAACAGATAAAGAACAAAAATTAAAAGATTTTTTTTGTTAAAACTGTCTTTAAAGAGGGGAATACACTATAAACTATATTTTGCTCATACAAAATATGTATCGTAATCAGTGTATCTTTTATTTAGCATGAGAAAGGACAAGGTGTAATAGAAGAGAATGAAGTTTATAGTAATACTCTGGCTGGAGTCTGGGTGACAACTGGCAGCACTCCAGTACTGAGAAGAAACAGGATACACAGTGGCAAGCAGGTAAGATTTTCTTGGACTCTTATATGGGAAATAATTATTTTGTAAACACTTGTCATTTGCAAAAAAAATTTTTTTTAATTTTAGGTTGGTGTTTATTTTTATGACAATGGACATGGAGTGCTAGAGGACAATGATATCTATAATCATATGTATTCAGGGGTTCAGATAAGGTAAATGTTTTCACATTTGGCTTTCTTTGGGGAGGGAATAGGGAATATGTGGGGTGTGTAGAAATTTTCTTGTTTTTCAGTGCTCAATCTTGATCCTTTTTTTGTGGGTGTATATTTACACTCTATCGTACTCTTGGCTTAATTTGTCAGACTATAACTTTTCTTGGACTAGCTGAGGACAACATTCAGTGTACTCCCATCATACATGGATAGTGGAAAGCTATATAAAAATACTTGTGAGCTATCCCTGGCATGTCATAAGCACCCATAAGTAGGAACTTTTGTTTTTATACTATTTCTGTAAAATTAAGTTTTTCACACCCCTCTTTCCTGTATTTTAGCAGTGTTTGGAGCTATAGTAGTCCTAATCATATAATACAACCCTTGATTTTACATGAGGGGAGTACATAATAATAATAGTTACTTCATCTTACCCCCTCCATTTAGTTTACATATTAAAAAACTATAGCCCTGGCCGGTTTGGCTCAGCGGTTAGAGCGTCAGCCTGTGGTCTGCAGAGACCCAGGTTCAGTTCCCGCTAAGGGCACGTGCCTCAGTTGCAGTCTGTCCCCGGCCCTGGTTGGGTCGTGTGGGTGGCAACCACTCGATATGTCCCTTTCACGTTGATATCTCTCTCTCTCCCTCCCTCCCTCCCACTCTATCTGAACAAAATATCAAAAAATGTCCTCAGGTGAGGATAAAAAACAGACAAAAAAAAAAAAAAACTATATTAATGCCTGGCCGGTTTGGCTCAGCCGTAAGAGCGTCGGCCTGTGTACCAGAGAGGCCTGGGTTTGGTTCCCGCTAAGGGCACATACTTCAGTTGCAGTTTGTCCCCGACCCCAGTTGGGGTTGTGGCAACCACTTGATGTGTCTCTCTCACATGAATGTTTCTCTTTCTCTTTCCTCCCTCTTTCCCTCCTGCTCTATCTCAAGATAAAAATGCAAAAATGTCCTCGGGTGAGGATAAAAAAATTTATAG